CTCTTGGAAGAGAGACGAAACGTTTCATTAAAGAAGAACCCGTCCAGAGGACCTATACAATTTTTTTCTTTTTGAGAATGGTATATATTTATACTTCTCATCCAACCACAACTAAATTCACTCTATCCAGGAGACATAATTTATCACAAGTTTTTTTTAAGTAATAACTACTCTGAATAAAATAGGAGTAACGACTTTCTACTTCTTACCTTTTTAAAAAATGTAGTGAGTAGAAAGTACAGATAATTGTGTAAAAATGTAATGAGTAAAAGTAAAAAGTATGATGAAAAATAATTACTCAAGTAAAGTACAGATAACCAAAATTTCTACTCCAGCACAGTAACAAAGTATTTGTACTTAGTTACTTTACAACTCTGTGTGGAAGATTGTCTGACACCTCCTGGCAGTTCCGGTGGCAGCTGTCACGAATTGAGCTTGGCCCTGTCGGTATGGTAAGTATTTGTAAGATTTATGAAAAAAAAAACCTATTTTTCAACATGAAAACTAATTTTGTGTTATACTGTATAGCACGAACACTTTTGAGACAAGAACTGAAAAACAGCCTCTGATTTGAAAAAATTTAAACATCTTTTTTAATTTTTAGTTTCTGGATACTTTTTGTTAGTATTTGTAAGATTTTTGAAAAAAATCTTACTTTTTCCCCACGAAAACTTATTTTGTGTTGAGTAGAGCGAATCAAACAGACTAATGATTTAAATAAGGTGCAGTTATTGTAAAGTGTTACCGAAAATGTTTTCATGTAGGTCTTTCCCACACTGATTACATCTTTTCCACCAAAATTAGTCATCGTATAGATCACGTTTCGCCTTTTATTTTTTAATAAAAATTACATTTCAAAATAAATTTTTATAATTTTCAACGAAAACGGATACTTGGACAATGTTAACATTACTGTAAACAGGATGGCTTTTTGCCTTTTAAACAAACTTCAAAGAGGACAAAGTTCGGTTTTATAACAAAATTGAAGTTGGTTAGAGTTCCTGTAAAATCACGGCTTGTCCAAATTCATTTCCACAGGAATTTAAAAAAAATCATTTATCAAACTCTTTTTTTAGCCTTAAAATTTACTTTCCTGATCGCTGAGTTTGATATATTTATAGAGTTGAAATGCTTAAAATTTTTAATTTAAATCAAAAGGACGTTTCGTTGTGAAACGCTGACATCAAGGCAGCTTATTCATCATTTTAATGACTAAATGAAACCTATAATTAAGTTTTTTTGTAACTAGCTTTACTGTCAAACTCACACTGAAAGAACAAAACAATAACATATTTATTCAATTTTTTATTATAAATTCAAAAATTACAATTTGTGTTTTTAAGCATGTGTTTCAATCAAATTGTTTTCATTTAAATCACTTTTCAGTTGTAATCTACATCATTTTCAAAGTGAAAGTCGCAGCTAAAATCATGTCCGAGTGTCTGAAAACCAGCAACAAGCCCTTAAATAGTGTTCTTCAGGTCTTCACGCTGGAGCATAATCTAGAGTTTTTGGCAATATTTAATCCCTCAAACAAAGTACCGCCAGTGATGCATCTCTGTGCCAAAGGCAACATCAGCAAGAGTTTGAATCTGTTCAGGAAAACAGTATTTGGCAATTTAAAAAATATATTCTTGACAACCTGTGCTCATTTGCTTAACTTTTCTTCTCATAAATATTGCCATTTTTTTCCGAAATCTAACCCGACAGCCTCGTACCAGACAATAAAAAAAGATCAAGTCGAAGCAAAACGTAAAGAAAAACATTTTGCTCGTGAACGACTTCAGTCATAATCAGTCATTTTTTAAATAAATAAACAAGAAAAGGACAGTGCACTTCCAAAAGCTTCAGAAAGAAGGGAAAGAAAACATCTGATACAAATAAACAAATGAACCGTGAAGCTGGTTTATCCTTTCAAAATAAAAGCATTGTAGAAAGAAGAACTGCTGAATAAATCCTGCCTTGCAATCTGTCAATCACACATTTCTGTGGCAGCAAGAAAATTACCTGAATGTGAGTGGAAAGTGTTTCTAAACCCTCCATTTATTGTATTGCTCATTTTGTGGTAAAGATTAGCGGACACGCCAGTGTTCTCGTGTGGCGGTCGCTTCTCATCATACGCGTGAAAAAATAACATCCATCTCAGGGAGAAGGAGGATTTCTTTTTTCTTTTTTTTTCGCTGATGGTGGATTTTATGAAGCTTAAAAAAAAGAAGAAGAGAAAGCTAAAGCAGAACAATCATCGAGGTGACTGCAGTTTTGCACCAAAGCTCAAAAAGTGCGTCTTCACTTTAGTGATGAAGAGAGACAAAAATAGGTTTAAAGATGAGAAAGTTTTCCAGAGTGGAGCAGAGAAAGGCTTCACTTGGCTCTTTGTAAACCATCTGAGTGATGAAGAAGTAACGTCTGTGTACCGCTGATGCAGAAAGTTTGGTGTAAATGCTAACAAAGTGAAAACAAAGGAGAAGTAATTTCAAGTTGTGTTGGTGACGATGTGAACGTGAGGACGCAGGACTCCGTCCGTCTCTAGCTGCTCTCCATCATCTTGGCCAGCGCGTCTCGCAGCTCCGTCAGCTCGAAGATCTTGGAGTCCAGCAGCTGCAGGAGGGAGCGCAGGTTCTTCTGACACGCCTCCCTCTCCTGCTGGCTGCTCTCCAGACGCTGCTCCAGCTCGCTGAGCTGCGCCTCCAGAGTCTGGTTCCTCAACTCCGACTCCTGAGGACAGGATAAAACCAAACCGCCAACACAGTTTTAGACTGAAATTACATTCTGGTGACAAACGATGGAGTTGTTATTTGGGTCAAGCATCATTAGCTTGGGTGGCCATCTTGAACTGGTTGTACATCCAGTGATTACTTTGACAGTTTAATCCAAATGCTTTCAGTGGTTCGTGAAATATTTGTGTTGCACTGTAAGAAATACGTGTCTTATATCGGCTGGAATCAGATGAAAATACAAGTGTTAAATAAACTGATCTGTGATATGAAATAAATGTCATACAACACCAGAATTCTGGAGAGACGAGTGAGGTTTATTTGTCACCGGACTGACAAGCCAAACCGCACTGAATGAAAAACAGGAAGTTCCCATTTAAATACTGTACACCATTCTTCAATGCCTGAGTTCGCCCTCTGCTGGCCTACGGCTGAATCACAGGCATTCAGACAAAGGCCTCACCCTAATGTTAACACAGCTTTTTAATTATGTGTTGTGAATGAACTCGGACATGTAGCTACTCTATTTCAATTAACACATAATAGATCAAACATTATAAAAGTGTTATAAAAAGAAACCCCTACTACTCTGGTGTTGTTTCTGATATCAGTACTAATCTATAAATAACTACATTTCTTCAGCACTACGGGTAACACTGATTATGTGTTGAAGATGACATTCAGCTACTTCCATGCCAAACTTTAGCTCAGTATTTGTTAAATTAACTGAGTTGGAGCCATTTTGTGTAAGCTGCTGTGTAACTGGCTGTGGTGGTCATCTTGAATAGGAGTGACTCAAACATTTTTTCAGTTCTAGACGAGCCCCCAACAATTACAGTATGTTCTGAGAGTTTTGTTCAGTTTCATCCAAAAGTTTATGGGATATTTTGCTAACAGACAAACACAAAAGTGTCAGTAAAAATGATAATCTTTAGAAAAGAAGATTTAGGTCAGAAATTCTTTTCTCACCCTCTACATTGTGTGACATCTGTGTTTTACACATTTCTGAGTTCTCACTAAATTGTTCCAGTTATTTTGAGAAGGGGGTCTCTGCAGTCACTAAGTGGGAGTTTTTTGGTTGTGGTCGTAGTTTGGGTGAATCATAATTGGTCTGACTTGTGGGGGAAGTTCAAAGATGAAGTAATAGTAATGGTAAAATTAATGTGAATGCTTAAATATAATTTATTGACTACAAATGTTGTGTGTCGAGCACCTTACTGTCTGGATTTATGATTAGTAACATTATTCATGTTGAAAACAGTGATCTTTTTCCAGGTGGGTTAGGACTGTTTTGACTGAGCTGAATTATTACACATCCCTCCACATGTACCGCGTTCACATTTGGTTTGATGAGCACCTTCCTTCTGGATTTATGGTTAAAAGTAATATCCATAAAATTAGCATCTGAATAGTTATACTTCTCCCCAGCTGTTTTTTACCCAAACTACACCCACAACCAAGAAAGAAATGTACATCAGTTTTCAGATAGTCTGCTCACTCACTACATCCTGAGTCAGCCGTTTTTTGTAGAACTGTTCAAAACTTTAAGTTTTTATCATCGTTTGTCATAAAACACCTGAACACCATCATGTGATTCAGTAAAAGTAGTGAACAGTAGCCCTGTCGCGATAGTCAATAAATCAATTAATTGCACGATAAATTATTTTGAGGTCGGTAAAAAAAATGAGGACGATAAGTTTKATTTTCCTGCTTGTTTGTTTACTTCGTCTCTCTCCCTCTCTGTGCTCCGCTACACAGGAGCTCAGCTGACTCCTCCCCTCCTGTTTTCTTAGTGTGGGAGGAGTGAACGCTCACTTTAGCAGGAGAGCTCGTAGCAATAACAAACTAAAGAAACGTTTCAAAGCAGAACGCGGCTGCTGCAGTGTCGGAGCACTACAGCCTGAATTTCGCTGCAGAGAGAGAGGGCGGGGGGAGAGGGGGAGAGGGAGAGAGGTCGTAGCAATAACAAACTAAAGAAACGTTTCAAAGCAGAACGCGGCTGCTGCAGTGTCAGAGCACTAGAGCCTGAATTTCGCTGCAGAGAGAGAGAGAGAGAGAGAGAGAGAGAGAGAGA